GACTGGGAAATCAGAGAATACGCAGATGTCAGACGCTTTGGCTGCAGCAGAGCCTCACAGGGTGTTCTCCCTGGTGAATTTTGCAACCTTTCGCACGTTTTGAGAGTCGCCAAGGAAGATGAGGAAGTTGAGATGAGTGAGGCTACCCGCTGCACCGGCAAATTTGGCCATTCAATATGAATTCGGCTTTATGATGATAATGATGGGTGCTTGTGAAGTCTTGCTAGTTCGGTGTATTTTCTCTCTGGCGCTGGCCTGTTTTCCCACACAAGTGCTTTCATACTTTCTCAGTATATAGCTGGTCAGGAAGGAAGCTGAGTGTGTGTGACTAGTCAGAGGCTTTTGTGGGGAATGTTTGGGTGCAGATGTTGTTCAGATATCAGATACAGGCCGGCAAGAATTGAGGAGTCTTGTTTCGCATGGTACCTCTAGTACACTAGGGTATTGAGGCGGTAGTTTTCTTATGTGGAGCATATATTTTTTTGTTGATTATGATTATGACGTTCTGTTTTGAGGGTTGCCAAGAGTTGATCAGGACCAGAGGCCAAATGCTCCGACGGTGCCCGCAGAGAAGGGTCCAAAGTGTGCACCTTAGAAACCAACAAAATCAAAATCTCGTGATGTCAAACTCTGAGCCAATGAATGCCTTGAGCGGGCCATAACCATATGTTTGAGCAACATTGTTGACAGCCTCCAGCAGATAGCCAGAAGTGTTTGTCGCATATTTGGAAATGTGGACAGCTTAAGCTCAGTGGGCCTCACACTCTTTGGTATGATCCCTGTGCCACACACTCGGGATAAAGGGATAAAGTACGTACGAAGGTCGCCCAATGCCTAGCAAACAAAAGCCTAAGTAAAACAAACTGCCGGAGCAAAACAGGTACAGTAGTATGCAAGGCAGGCCAACCATCACAGAAAGGCCCTAAAGTTTAAAGGGTCTCAAAGGGTTTCAACAGTTTCCAAAGGCTCCAATTGTATAACATCAGAAGATCGAGCGGCGAACGCATGTCTGACCTGAGTCATTCTGCAACAGCCTTGAAGACCACATTTGAATGTTATGATTGGAAAATGGCTACAACATTCACAACATCGGTGCAGGTACGCTGAGGTGATCAAGCTCGGCATGATTGTGGTAGCTTTGTTGAGTGCGTTCCCACAATCATGCCGCACTCCCCTGCATAATAACATTCAGATTAAAGGACTCGGTATTAAATCTAAATCCAAGAGCCAGCAGGCTCCCTCTGATCACTTGCTTCGTGAGGTAGACGACGCTTCGTAGGGTCATACGCTTTTCTGTGAAACATGAGGATCACTGACCTATCTCAAACGGTGCCTCAATTACCTCGACTAGAGTCTAGAGGCTTTACCGCAAAATAGAGTTGAAAAAGCAATTCCCAGTGCAAGAGCCCAACCTGATTTCATGAAATTGGAGATATTACAGCAGCCCTGCTGTCCACATCTACTGGTTTGGTTCAACCAACAGTTCTTCCTTCAGCCCAGGTTTGACCTTTTCAGCAATGCCCATTTGCCGTGCCTCAGCTGAGCTTCCAAAAGAGTGTGTTTCTTCTTGGACAGATCCTGCCTGATGTTTCCCACAATGTGAGCTTTCAGCATTTGCGAAACCAGCAAAAGGAACATAGAGAAGGAGAGCACTAATTAGAAACATGGACTCGCAGTTTCTTTGTCACATTTTGTTTGCGTCATCGGTACAACCTGGTAGTGTCTCCAGGGTTTCTTGAGGATCACCAAAATTTTGCAAAAAACGCATAATTGAAAGGACTCGCGCTGGGCAGGTCAGTCCCATCAAAGCATCCGTTTGGCGACCTCGACTCGCCGTTGCCACCCAGCTGCAAGCAGGGCACCGGGCAAGGCCGGTGCAAGGATGCAGAGGAGTTCTTTCGTTACTTCAGAAGAGACAAAAAGCAAGTTTGTTTTTTCTTTTGGGGGGGTGGGCCGTTAGTAGGTAGGTTAGCTAGGTAGGTAGCCAGTAGGTATATAGCTAGTAGCTTAAGTAGCTATATACTACTATGGATGCAGGATAGAGCTCGCACTAATGATTTGGTTTCTAGATTTTTAGGGAAACTTAACTCATGTGTAAGTTTAAGATATTTTGCTAAGCCGCTAAGCTGCGCGACGCACGTCTTGATACAGACCGTTTTTGCCCTTGCCCAGGTCAGAATTCAATCTGTTTGGTGATCATCCACCTGAGCTTCTTTGCTGAACTCTGAATCCTTTTCATTGTCGCTGCACCCAATGGAGAGACACAACCGATGAAAGACTCCGAAGACCTAGCAAGCATGAAAGGCCTGAATAGAGGACAAATGAAAGTCCAAAGCCTCCATGAGGCCAGAAAAGAACCAAGATAGTGCCTTGGCGTAATTAGAACTAATTGCAATTAAGTATATAGATTTCCTTTTCGGGGTAGCCTGTAGTATGCTTAGGTAGCTCGTGGCAAGGGGTAAGCAGCAACACGGAAGCTACTAGTAGCCACTTAGAAGAGCTCAGGCTTCAAGGAAGTTCCCCCAAGGGCAGGTGGGAGCTTCCTTTAAGAACCTCTCGCAGCTCGATTTGGCTCTTTTTGGGAACCGAAAAAAAAGAAAAACACATATTTTGAACCACATATTGATGATATTTTGAAATACCGAGATGTCATCCGTCATTCTGCTTATCTCTTGAGGTTCGGCTGAAAGCCCAAGTGGCCAGGATGAGGACAGGGTTTTTGAGTCATATACCTAGCTGCTGGGTTGGAGGATTTCATTTGAGGCAGGTAACAACAGATCGCCACACAACTTCTTATGAAGCTGCTCATCAAAATTTCA